CAACTTTACCAGATACTTTGCTGATAAGGTAGAGTTGATTAGGTCATCCATCCCCCAGTCCACAATTGATCCCTCTGTCTTTGTCCCTTGCTCAGCTGTCTTCCAACAGTTTGAACCCATTTCACTCCCATTTCTAAACAAAGTCGTTGGTCAGATGAAACCCTCCGGTTCCCCCGCTGACCCCATTCCTGCATCGTTTTTAGAACAAGTTCTACCCACGATTGGACCCTCTGTTCTTACTATTATAAATAGTAGTATTGTGACAAGTGTGGTTCCCGATGTTTTCAAACATGCAGTAGTTCATTCGTTAATTAAGAAACCTGGACTTGACCCTTCGACTTGCTCAAATTTCAGACCAATCTCAAAACTTCCCTTCCTGTCCAAAATCCTGGAGAAAATAGTTTTTATTCAATTAAACAAGTTTTTGAATAAGAACAGAATCTTAGAGATTTTTCAGTCTGGTTTTAAGCAACTCCACAGCACTGAAACAGCATTAGTAAGGGTTTGTAATGATATTATGATATCAAACAATTCTGGTCAATTTGTGGTACTTGTGCTCCTGGACCTTACTGCTGCTTTTGATACTGTTGACCACAGTATCCTTATATCACGGCTGGAACAGTGGGTTGGGATCACAGGTGCTGCATTAGAATGGTTCCGCTCATACCTGAGTGGCAGGAGCTTCTGTGTCATGGTTGGTAATAATGTATCCGCCTCATTACCTCTTTCATGTGGGGTCCCACAGGGTTCGATTCTTGGACCCCTTCTGTTCTCACTTTATTTGCTCCCACTGGGGTCCATCCTGAGGAAACATGGTCTTTCATTCCATTGCTATGCTGATGACTGCCAGATCTACCTGCCTGTGAAACCAGCAAGTGTTTGCTCCATTCACCCTCTGTTAAAATGTCTGGACGACATTAAGGCCTGGATGGCTTCAAATTTCTTAAGTTTTAACAATGAGAAGACTGAAGTCATTGTTTTTAGCCCTAGCTCAACTGCCACCACTGATCCTGTCAACCTGGACTCTCTTCAGCCATATCTGAAGCAGTCTGGTAAAAATTTCGGGATGGTTTTAGACTCTGACTTCAAGTTTGACAAACAAATCAACTCTGTTCTGCAGAAAAGCTTCTTCCAACTCAGACAGGTAGCTAAACTCAAGTCAGTGTTGTCCAGACCCGACCTTGAGAAACTAGTCCACGCCTTTGTCACGACCCGATTGGACTATTGCAATTCACTGTATGCTGGGATCAGCCAAGCCTCCATCTCACGTCTTCAGCTCGTCCAGAATGCTGCTGCTCGGCTTTTAACCAGAACTCGTAGGTCTGAACATATTACACCAGTTCTGTCCTCCCTTCACTGGCTCCCTGTTCATACGAGGATAGTTTTTAAAATTCTTCTGTTGACCTTCAAATGCTTAAATGACCTCGCACATTTGTTCTGCCTCAAACTTGTCCTAAATGCCGACAAAACCAAAGGGATGCTTTTTTCAAATAGGAAGTTGGTCCCAGCAGTTCTTCCTCTGATTTTATCCTCAAATGGTGTCCCCATTGAGTTTGTTGATTCCTATAAATATTTGGGTATCTTGGTCGACTCACATCTCTCTTTTAAGCTCCATGTGGAAAACTTGATAAATAAACTGAAAGTTAAACTGGGTTTCTTTTTCAGAAACAGATCCTGTCTAACCCTGAATGCTAGAAAACGCCTTGTATCTGTGACTTTCCTTCCCTCCATTGATTACGGTGACATTATTTACATGAACGCTCCTACAAGAACCCTGCAGATGTTGGATGCTGTCTATCATAGTGCCCTAAGATCCATAACTGGCTGTAACTACCATACCCACCACTGCACCCAGTATTCACTGGTTAACTGGACATCATTAACTCCACACAGACTCTCCCACTGGTACATTTTCATCTTTAAATCACTTCCTGGTCTGCTGCCTTCATACATCTCCTCCTACATGTCTCTGTGTGAGTGCAGCTACAGCGTGCGCTCTCAGGACATCATTACCTGCAGTGTTCCCTCAGTGAGGACTGAACTAGACAAAAGGACCTTCTCCTACTCCGCTCCTGTTTCCTGGAACATCTTGTAAAAAGATCTGAAGCTCTCGGCCTTGACTCTAACTGACTTCCAACATCTGTTAAGTTACTGGAAAAAAACAATGCAGACATGCTCCTGTTTTTAGTTTTCTACATCATCTTACAACCTAGCTGTTTTTTTGTTACATTTTTATACCATTTTAATTTAATTTGTTATTCTAAATTTTTACGCATCCTTTATGATTGTCTATTGTGTCTTTTTTTTATCCACTCATTGCTCTTTGTTAAAATCAAGTCTCTTGAAAATGAGTCCCAGTGGGATTAATCTGTCTAAATAAAGGTTGAATGAATGAATGATGTCGCATGTTCAGGCACTCCCTCAACACTCTCATGTTGCCAAAGTTTTCAAACCACCATTTTACAACAATGTCACAGAAGTTCTGAAATTATTTCAAGTCTTTTGGTTTAGGTGCCACCCCAGGATTGTTTAGTGAAATTGAAAATAATTGGACATCAACACACTTGCTTTATTCACAGGAAGAATCAAGAACCTGGACCTGGACCTGAGCCGAGCTGTATGTCCTTTAGGAGCAACAACTCTAAAGAACTTGGGATTTTTTTTAAATCTCACCGCCCTTCTGCAGAGAGGTGAGCTGTATGTAAATATTGTAGCTGTCCAGCTTCATGTGACAGAAGAGAAGAATGATTCTGACTCCAGTTCTATCATCTGAAACAAATAGCCTTCATTTGATAAAACAGACGCTTATCAGAATTCCAGGCCCTGTTCACTCAGGCTGTCTTTAAATCACATTTTTGACTTTGTTCTCCCAGCAATGCATAAAATTAATTTTTCATTTAAATAAACAAAAACTATTTTAAAAGTTTGTCTCTGATTTCAGAAAAAAAAAATTCATAGTGTGGCAGACCCTTGAAGATTTTGCATGCTTTTTTTAAACAATTGTTGTGCTTAAAATGTTTGATTTAACAGCAGCTTTGTTACAAAAACCCCAAAAACAAAAAAACAATACGATCAAAGTTGTTTTGTTTTAGAGCTTTAACTTTACTGAGTTAAAAACAAACATCTGCTGCCCAGATGTAGAACGAACAGATAACTCGCCCCTGTAGCGATCAGGCTTCTCAACGAACAATGATGGTTTCTGTACTGTTACTTTAATGTGTCAGTGTCTTGCCTGGTATGGATGTTTTACGTGCCTACTGACTGGGAAACAAATTGTCCCTGGGGATAATAAAGATCGATGAACTTCCACATATTTTGAGGACTGGAAAACAAATACAAAATTATTCTGCACATTTCAGTATTTATGTTGCCAACCATGCACAAACTGAACCTCCTCTTCCCCCTTCTTCTTCATCACCATCACTATCCTCTGTCCTCACTCCAACTACCTCCATGTCCTCTCTAACTGCATCCATATGTCTCCTCTTTGTCTTTTTCCTGGCAGCTGCATTTCTAACATCCTTCTACCAATATACCCACTGTCCCTCCTCTGGACATGTCCAAACCATCTCAGAGTGTCCTCTCTAACTTTATCTCCCAGTTGTTCAACCTGTGCTGTACCTCTGATGATCTCATTCCTGATCTTCTCCATCCTTGTCTCTCCTAAGAAGAACCTCAACATCTTCATTTCTGACACTTCCAGTTCTGTCTCCTGTCTTTTTGTCCATGTTTCTGTCTCCAGACCATACAACATAGCTGGTCTCACCACTGTCTTGTAAACTTTTCCTTTGACCTTTGCTGACACTCTTTTGTCACAAATCACTCCTGAAACTTTTTTCCATCACTCCATCCTGCCTGGACTCTCTTCTTCACCTCTTTACCACACTCCCCCATTTTCCTGGACAGTGGACCCCAAGTCCTTGAAGTCCTGCACCTTTGTGACCTCTGCTCCTTGTAGCCTCACTGTTCCACCTCCTCCCTCTCATTCACACACATGGACTCTGTCTTACTACGGCTGACTTTAATTCAGATTCAAATATTCTTTATTGTCATTCGCACCACATGTGATACATGTGGTGGAGCGAAATTATGTACACAGGGTCCCAGTTACATCCAACAATAAAATGTAAAAGAAAACAGCAATAAAATCTAAGATATGAACTAAAAAAAACATCAACTAAAAATACACTAAGCAGTAATAGCATAGAAGCAATAAAAACAATACGCCAAACAGCAGCACGAACATGAGTCTGTGTGAGCAGATGAGCATGAATGAACACAGCAACATGATACAGATCAGCAGCAACATGATGAGATTCTTGACAGTGATTAGTCTGATTAGAGATTAATGAGCCTAACAGTAGGGTTTCTGTCCTGTCTCTGTCTGTTTCCTCACGTTTCCAGTTCAGCTCTCAGTGTTTTCCCTCCTTGTGTTCAGCCCATGTCTCACCTGTGTCTCGTTAATTACCGCAGGTGTCTGTCATTGTCCCAATCAGTGTGTGTATATATTCAGTTCCCTGGAGTCTTGTCTTTGTATCGGGATTGTCCTTATGGTGTGTTCTGCCTTCCGTCCTGTGTCCTGTTCATTTTTGTAAGTACGCTGCCCCATCAGCTTTTGCTTTGTTTTTGTAAAATAAATATATTTTTTATTTTTCCTTGAGCCTCCTGTCGTCCTTCTGCACGCTGGGTTCAACACTTCTGACAGCAGAACCTGATAGATTCCCAAAACCAATTCTGAACCCAGCAGGAGGATGATCACTGTTTGAGTTCCTGGCAGACAAGACTGCCCAAAGAGGGCACAGTTTTGTGGGACCTGTCTGGCCATCAGACCAGGGTCCTTGGTGTCTCCATCTCTCCTCCCCTCACTGCCACGCCCCGCTGCTGCACCTCACCATTCACCTCCTCCCCATGACCAGCGAAGGGAGAAGAGAGCTTTGCAGACGGGGGGGGGGGGGGGGGGGGGGGGAGCGGGTTTGGGGGGGGGGGGGGGGGGGGGGGGGATGTTACCGGTTTTACCGGAAGAGCGAGGGGAGAGTTTGCTGGAGAAGAGGTACCTGTGCTCGTCAGAGGAGCAGTTCAGCTCTCCCTTGCTGGATGAGCTGGAGCTGTGGAAGACTTCGATGGTGCAGAGGTACCTGGATCCACCAGCAGAGCAGTCCAGCACTCGCTCGCTGGAGGAGCGAGGGGAGATCCCGCTGCGGAAGAGGTTCCCCGACTCACCGGTGGGGTGATCGGGTCCTCGCTCCACAGAGGACGACCACTGCTCCCCACAGCCAGCTGCACCCTCCTGGGACTTCTCAATTAAACCTGCTTGGCTCTCTCCCCTGTCCTGCAAGGGGATCCAGGCAGACACTCCTTCCTGCTGCTCGCCTGATGGTCTTCCTTCTGCAGAGCTTCTGGTTCCCGCCTCTGCAGAGGTTCTCAACTCACCTGCTGCAGCTCTGGTCCCATCACCTGCTGCAGCTCCAACTCCACCACCTGCTGCAGCCCTGACCTCTGACTCTCCTGTTGCAGCTCTGGTCCCCAGTTCTCCTGCTGCAGCCCCAGTTCCTGACTCCTCTGCCGCAGCCCCAATGCCCTACTCGACCGCAGAAAATCCTGAGTTGACCGCAGAAGATTCTGGTTCGGCTGAAGTCCTCGCTCCTGGTTCGTCAGCCGAAGTCCTTGCCCCTGGCTCGTCAGCCGAGGTCCTCGCCCCTGGTCCGCCTAAAGAAGTCCTAGCCCCTGGTTTGGCTCTTGAGGCCCTGATCTGCCTGAGTCCAGAAGGACAAAGGTGGACACCCCTGCAGCCCACAGATGAACGGTCCTCTGGTTGCCTGCCGGAACACTGGCCCGAGGGTGGATGGTTTCCAGGCCTCCCTTCTGATCTCCAGCCTCGTTTGGAATCGTCACTGGACCGTCCGCCTGACCACTAGACCTGCTTTGGATGGTCTCCTGACCGTCCATCTTGACTCAGGGTTTGGGTTTTCTATGTTGGTGTTTTGTGTTTAGAGTTACCCAGGTTTGCCTGTCGGTGTTTTGTTCTTTTGGTCCTCTGTGTTTCTCCATCTTGGTCTGTCCTGCTTTTCCTGCCTCCCAACCAAGTTGGATGTATCTTGTCCTTGCAATGTCAGGAACCATCCCTTGAGTGGGGGGTACTGTAGGGTTTTTGGCCTGCCTCTGTCTGTTTCCTCATGTTTCATGTTCAGCTCTCAGTATTTTCCTTCCTTTTGTTCAGCCCCTGTCTCACCTGTGTCTCATATTAATCACTGCAGGTGTCTGTCATCGTTCTAATCAGTGTGTGTGTGTGTGTATATTCAGCTCCCTGGTGTCTTGTCTTTGTCTCGGAATTGTCCTTATGGTGTGTTCTGCCTTCCATCCTGTGTCCTGTTCACCTTGTGAGTATGCTGCCCCATCAGCTTTTTCTTTGTTTTTGTAATTTTTTTCCCTCAAGCCTCATGTCGTCCTCCTGCACGTTGGATTCAACACTTCTGACGGCAGTATCTGATACTAACAGCCTCAGGGTAGAAGTTGTTCCTCAGTCTAGTGTTTCTAAACTTAATGCTTCTTAACCTCCTTCCTGTGGGGAGCGGGGCAAAAAGTGTGTGTGCTGGGTGAATGGGGTCCTTCATGATGCAGGTAGCTCTCTTCCTGAATCTAGAGGTGTAAATGTCTGTGATGGTGGGGAGGCTGACTCCAACAGACTTCTGTGCAGCATTCCTCTTCTTTCAAGTGCATACTTCCACCTCTCCAAGTTCTCTTCCACCTGTTCCCTTTTCTCACCACAGATCTCAATGTCATCTGGAAACATCAAAGTTCACAGAGATTCCTGCCTGACCTGGTCTGTTAGTTGGTCCATTACCAGAGCAAACAAGAAGGGGCTCAGAGCCGATCCTTGATACACTCCCACATCCACCTTGAAGTTATCTGTCACTCCTACAGCACATCTCACCACTGTCCTGCTGTCCTCATACATGTCCTGTACCAGTCATACTTTTCGGCCACTCCAGATTTCCTTATGCACCCTGTCATATGTTTTTTCTAAATCAACAAAGACTCAATGGAGTTCTTTCTGTGTATTTCTCCATGAAGATCCTCAAAGCAAAGATGGCATCTGCAGTGCTTTTTCTTGGCATGAAACCATATTGCTGCTCACAGTCACCTCTCGTCTAAGTCTTGCTTCCACAATTCTCTCCCAGATCTTCATTGTGTGGCTCATCAATTTTTTTCATTCAACCTTTATTTAGACAGGTTCATTCTATTGAGCCTCGGGGACTCATTTAACTTAATCCCCCTGTAGTTGCTACAACTCTGTACATCACCCTTGTTCTTAAAAATGGGCACCAGCACACTTCTCCTCCATTCCTCAGGCATTTTCTCTCCCTCATATGTGCCATTCAATATTTGGGTCAAAAACCTCACCAAACCTGGCCAAACCTCATCTGATATGTCATCAGGTCCTACTGCCTTTTCCTTCTTCATTCTTTTCAGAGCTTTCCAGAGCTTCACCCTCACTAATCTTTCCCACTTCCTGGTGCACAGTGTCTATGACCGACTCTTCTTTCTCTTTCATTATCTTCATTCATTAGCTCCTCAAAGTACTCTTTCCATTTTCCTGTCACACCCTCCTCACTTTTTAAAACATTACCATTCCTGTCTTTAACAAACCTAACCTGCTGCACATACTTTCCAGCCTGATCCCTCTGTCTGGCCAATCGGTAAAAGTCCTTCTCGCCCTCTTTAGTGTCCAGCCTCCCATACAACTCATCATTCACTTTCTGTGTTGCCTTAGCTACTTCCATCTTTGCTCTCCATTGCATCTCCTTATATTCCTGTCTCCTCTCTTCAGTCCTCTCAATGTCATATTACTTCTTGTCTAATTTCTTTTTTGAACAGTGCCCTGCACTTCACTATTCCACCCCCAGGTTTCCTTATAATCAATTCTCTGTCCAGATGATAAACCAAGTACCTTCCTACCTGTCTCTCTAATTACTGTTGCTATAGTAGCACAGTCATGTGGAAGCTCTTTCTTACCACCCAGAGCCTTTAACAGCTCCTGTCTGAATTTCTCACAACATTCTTCCTTCATCTTCCACCATTTGGTCTTCTCTGATTTTACTCTTTTTCACAACAACAGTCATTCTACACACAACCATCTGATGCTGTCTGGCCATGCTCTCCCCTACCACAACCTTACAGTCTCCAATCTCCCTCAGGTTTCCTGTTTTACACAAAATATAGTCGACCTGCGTACTCCTTCTTTCACTCTTATAGGTCACTCTATGCACCTCCCTCTTTTGGAAATACGTATTGACTATAGCCATTTCCATTCTCTTGGCAAAATCCACCACCATCTGTCCTTCCTGGTTTCTTTCCTTGACACCAACCCTACCCGTAACTTCCTCATCCTCTCTGTTTCCTTCATCAACATGTCCATTCAGGTCTGCTCTGATCACCACTCTCTCCTTTTTGGGAATACTCTCTATCACTTCATCTGGATCTTTCCAAAATTTATCTTTCTCCTCCACATCACATCCACCCTGTGGAGCATAACCACTGATGATGTTTAGCATCAGACCTTCTACTTCTACCTTTAGACACATCACCCTATCTGGCACTCTTTTCACCTCTACTACATTATTTGCCAACTCCTCCTTCAGGACCACCCCTACTCCATTTCTTTTTCTGTCCACACCATGGTAAAACAGTTTGAACCCTGCTCCAATGCTGCGAGCCTTGCTGCGCTTCCGTGGACACATAAAACATCTACCTTCCTTCTCTGAATCATGTCAGCCAGCTCTCTACCTTTACCTGTCATTGTCCCCACATTTAGAGTTGCAACCCTCAGCCCTACATTCTTGACTTTCCTCTTCTCCCTCTGTCTCCTGACATGTTTCCCTCTTCATAGTCTTAGACTGAAGGCTCCAGTTACTGCCACGTATGTCCGTTCACGTGTGTGTACGCATGTACGGTACGCAGAGGGTTCAGACATGATACTCCAGCGTACACCCCGAGCAGCTGCAGAGCAGCTTCACAGACAAGGGGCATTTACCTTCGAGACAAATTGAGGTCGCCGATTGGTCATTTGCTGACACGCCTACTGGATTGATTGACAGGTAGGAAAAAAAAAAAAGCTAGCGCTGACAGCCTCCGCCACAGCGGTGTTCTGTGTTTATATGTTGTTAATAAAAATATCTAAAAAATAAAGAAAAAAAACAGGGAGAGCTGGCTCTACAACCCACACATCAGACCAGCCCACCAGGAAATTTCCAGACCCTCCTGCAGCCACGCTGGACCTGAGATTAATTCGCTCGTGACAAATTCCTTAATTTCTCACCATTTCAGTCATTGCATCAACGGAGGAGGAAGAGATCACTGTCTCTTGACAAAAAAACAAAAGAAAAGGCCAGATCAGAGATGAAGAAGGGGAATTTAATACATTGGTGTCGCATACAAAACAGTCCGTTGCTGGGCAGCTTATTGTGCGACACCGCGTATGCGCATGCGGTCGTAAAAATTGGAGCTTTGCACGGAGGGTACGCACGTACCTCTGCGTACGTACGTGCGTACCTCTGCGTATGGATGTACGCGGCAGTATACTGGGGGCTTGACAGTAGCACACTTTCTGAAGAGCCTGAAGACTGCCACCATCATCCCAGTCCCAAAAAGCTCTACAGTGACTGGTCTGAATGACTATCGGCCAGTGGCCCTCACCCCGATAGTCGCTAAATGCTTCGAAAAACTGGTCATGACTCACATCAAAACAACCATCAACATCAACGAGGACCCTCATCAGTACGCATACCGTGAGAACCGATCAACAGAGGATGCAATCTCCTCTGTGGTCCACACTGCACTTAACCACCTGGAGCAGAAAAACTCTTACGTCCGTATGCTCTTTGTGGACTTCACATCCGCCTTCAACACCATGATCCCCCAAACCCTGATGGACAAACTATCCACACTAGGACTAAGCCCCTCCATCTGCAACTGGGTACTAGACTTTTTAACAAACAGACCACAGTTAGTGAGGATCCACAACCTCTCCTCCTCCACCATAACCCTCAGCACTGGCTCTCCTCAGGGATGTGTGTTGAGCCCCCTTCTGTTTACTCTGCTCACATATGATTGTGCAGCTACCCATCCAGGCTGTCACATTGTAAAGTTTGCAGATGATACAGCGGTGGTGGGATGCATCACGAACAATGATGAGTCCAGCTACAGGCAAGAGGTGGAACACCTGGAGAGCTGGTGCAGAGAGAATAACCTTCACATCAATGTGAAGAAGACAAAGGAGATGATTGTGGACTTCAGAAGGAACAAAAACACCTACACCCCCCTGAACATAAGAGGATCTGCGGTGGAAGTGGTCTCCAGCTACAAGTACTTGGGTGTACACATGAATGACAACCTCAGCTGGAGCAACACCACCACCAGCCTGATGAAGAAAGCTCATCAGAGACTCTACTTCCTCAGACGGCTGAGGCGAGCTGGTCTGGGAAGCTCAGTCCTCACCTCCTTCTACAGGTGTGCAGTGGAGAGCATCCTGTGCTCCAGCATCAATGTGTGGCATGGAGGCTGCACAGCTGCAGAAAGAAAAGCTTTGCAGAGAGTGGTGAAGGCTGCACAGAAATCTGTTGGAATCAGTCTCCCCACCATCACAGACATCTACACCTCCAGATGCAGGAAGAGGGCCACCTGCATCATGAAGGACCCCACCCACCCAGCACACACACTTTTTGCCCCAC